TATATATATATATATACCTTTAAGTGCTCGAAGAACTTTAACTGACTGCTAAACTTAGAACTACATAATTCACATTTAAAGACGTTAGCCTGAGCTGCGTTACTCGATTCAATTACCACATTCTCTTGAACCGATTTATTATTATCTTTTCGCACCACGTTCTTTTTTGTCTGTTGTTGTTTTAGCTTCCGAGGTATCCTTTTTTTGTGTGGCAGGGTTCTCTTGGGACCTGATGCCGACGTGGCATCCTCACTGCTTTCCGTGGAAACCTCAACATCGTATTCGCTTTTAACATTGATAAATTCTTGCTTTACATTCTGCGTAATCCTCTTGAAAAGTTGCAAAGGTGAGTATACGGACGGAGCGGCGGTCGGGTCTGATACTGCTTGAATGGAGTACGAATTTACTGGCGCCAGAGTCTCAAGATGTGAAACGTCTGCTAGAGTCGGATCCTCGTGTTGTGACTGGATATGGAGCTGCTGTTTCTGCTGTTGATGCAACTGTACCGCGACCAAGGCCGCGGCAAGTCTACGGTCGTCCTGCATCACACAATTCACATTCTACATGTAAGGTATAAATATGTGCAGTTATACGGACATTAAGTAACATATTACAACTTCAGTTAATTCATGCGACAGCAAGTCGTCCGCCTCATAATACTGTGTGCCAGTGCCATAGTCTGTGCCGACGCCTGCATTAATCATATCCACGACCATGCCTTCGGAGATTAATTCACCATTCAGAGTTAACAGCGGTACTTTGCTCAAAGCTTCTCCGTCGGCTCTCTGGATGGTGATATATTGAGCTCCCTCCATTCCTTCCAGAAGCACAGCCTGTGCCTCTTCCGTTGTAACTTCCATAACTGAGTATTCTCAATACAACGACTAATAATTGTTCTCTTCACAAACTTTTACTTATCTATAGATACCAAATCTGTGGATCATAGAGGAAAATCTATTAGTATAAGAAATCTATTTTCTCTTAATTAAAAGTAGTTCAAAATTAAAATAGATTAAAATTAATTCCAATATACACCAAATATTTACTTCATTAATCTCTCTTTTGTCATGATAATTTTAAAATCATTTCTCATATTATGTATATACAATAATAGTAATTTTTGTTTAAATCAACGAAACTATTTTACAAATTCACCGAAATATCATAGTGAAATCCATTTACAATAGAATTTTCAAAACAACAGACAATACATTTTCAGTACTGTTCTTTAACAATAAAATAACGAAAATTTATATAAAATAATTAACTATATTGTGTGACGATATTAAATATCATTATCATATTGTGCATATATGCGGTTTTATTTAAGTTAATGAAAAAATATTTCATATTTTACTTCTATAAAGTTTTTTTTTTTAAAGACCTCCATTTCAACGAATTCCGATTAACTTTTTTTTTAATCAATGATTAGTCCATTGGAATTGATCAATTGTATTTGTCATTTCGCTTAATGACACATGCGATTGGCCAATTCCAATGGACTACAGCCCATTCTACAATTGCATAAGCGTAGTTGTAAGTGGTATAGTTGTAAGAATTGACTACACAGTCGAATATTTTCTTCATATTTGACTGTGATTGATTAATTCTAGAACCACAACCATATGGTTCATAACTACAGTTACGCAATTGTAGAATGAACTTAACCATCGATTAAAGTTAATCGGAGTTGGTCCAAGTGGCTTATACTCGTTTCTATGCAGTTTATCTATGAATTTTAATCTCAGTTCAACTAATTTTTAATAAGAAAAAGATGAAGAGTAATAGTAAATTTAATCTCGATTCAACTTATAGCATATTCGATTTACTAACTTGACCCGACTTCGAGTCAATGACTGTTTAGCTGTTTCTGTTTAGCTACAAAAGAAGAGTTAAACTGTGCAAGAAATGCAGTTAAAAAAACAGACTATTGACTCGAAATCGGGTATTGACTCGAATCAAGTAAGTATATAATAAATCGAATATGCTACAAGTTGAATCGAAATTAAAATTAATCTATATTGTAGAAACGAGCATTAGACTCAGTTTCACAACGGTTAATCGAGGTTTAATTTATTTCTCATCTTTTTCCAATTTTAGCATTAGAAAAAGATGAAGAATAAGTTAAAACCTCGGTTAAGAATTAATCATGAGTTGTGAAATTGGGCTTCAAGTTCATTTCCATCAATGTAAATTAACTTTAATCTTGGTTCAACTTACTCTTCATCTTTTTTTAGTTCCAAAAAAAGAAGAAGAATAAATTAAACCAAGATTAAAGTTAATCCATGTTGGTAGAAATGGACATTTCCATTTATTGGGCAATTCCATTTTGAAATAGTGACACAAATTGACATATAAATATCATTCTATCTTTTTTTGCATTCCATGGGTAACAAAGATAGAACACATATCAACTTGTCACTAAGGCCCGGTTGCATCAATGTTACTTTGACTTTAAGCGAAACTTAAAACTCTCTCTGTTTCATTTTAAAGAAAAAGAGACAGAGATAGAGAGAGTTTTAAGCCTCACTTAAAATCAAAGTAATGTTGGTGCAATCAGGCAAAAAATGGAAGGTACTCAAAGGGAGCTTTCTAGAAGCACAAATCAACACAAGAGTTATTCTATCTTTGTTTCTTACTGATTATTGAACAAGGACTTGTGTCAACTTGTATGTCTTGCTGGAAAGCTCCCAATATTTCTAATTCCTTTCTTACTAAGAAAACTCTTGTTAAGATCATCACAATATATAACAAGATAGTACACCACTAACAATAAAATTAAACAATAGAACTTTATTATTCTTATATTACTTATATCCTGTGTACTTAGACTGCACTAGAACTCTCTTTCTCGCTTTCATCAGTATATTAAACATATGCCTACTTTATTTTAACCGTACACTTTATAGTTCAGCCACAAAAACAAATCTAATATTCTTTCTGACATCGGACTTTAACGAGATATATTTTTTAGTAATTTTATTCTGAACAAGACGACAAAATAACCGCAAAAAGACTACAGAAAAATTGCACGAATCCAAACGATCCATCGAGGTCCAAAAATAGCGCCGCCGCGCCGGGGCGCCGAGTGCGCCGACGAAACGGGGTTTGAATTTGGCGGGGGTACATACTTCTTCGGGACTGACAGCGAGACCAAGGTCACTGCACCCGGATCGCATTGAATATCATGAACCGCGCCTTGATACGCGCTGTGTGCGGAAAAATACACTCGCCCTCACCTTCGTTTAGCGTAATTCACGCGTCCGACCGGGCTGCTCGTTCTTGCTCCGTTGGCCACGGGCAACATAAACAAAGCGAAATATTGAAACACTGTAGGGCAAAATGTGACAACAGTGCTTGGCTCTTGACGCCATTCAACCGGAAATACCCCTCCTACGCCGCCTGCACAATATAACGTACGCGCGTGACGATGATAAAAGGTTCTAGATCGGCCGTCGAGCAATGTGATTCCCGACGATATTTCGCTCTTCCGCGGAAAATAATCCGGTTCGATCTGTCTCCTATCCGCTCACGCGACACTCCTTGGTCGAGAACAGCGCGATGAAATCCACGGGAACCTTTTCAACATCGCAGCTCTTTTGTGTCCCGACATAGTATTTTTCGTCCGCACTTTGGCGACACTGATTACCGCTGCCTCCCTTCCTCTGAAATAGCGGTAAGGGAGAGCCGCGACCTTCCGGTTACCGATGGCCGTGTAAAGTAAACGCGAAATGTCAAATTAGCATATCCACGGCGAGGTGCGGGTGCGTGAATACGGCGTTTCAGCGCGGTCGCGATTGAGCCGGCGTAGTATTCCGGTCGGTGACGTTTGCGACCCTTTGACGCCGACGGAACGTCGATTTGTCGTCGCTGTGAAACGGTGAGCCACTCGTCGTGCGCATCATACTCAGGCGACGCGAAACTGAAGGGTTAAAAAGGAAGCTCCGTACTTACGCTGTCACTCAGCTGATTCATTTCCCCCGCCGCCGTCACATGGTGTCTTGCTTCATCTTTTCCCCCCTTTTTCTCGTGTCTTCCTTTCTCTCGTACATCGCAATAATAGTGCGGAAAGAATTCTGCTGCATTTGACAGTAACGGACGGAAAAGTATGTAAACGTCTGTGAAGGAAAGAGTTCAGCGAACGTATCGTTTATCGATAAGTAAACGTTGTAATTATGGTCAAGTAGTAGATGGATAGATATCTATCTTATCAAGTAATATGTAATTTCGTGACCAAAAATTTTTATTTTCCAGTGCATCTTAGTACTTTAGCCTCCTTTCAGACAGCAAATTCCATCAAAAACGAGATTCAGCTACAACTTTTGTCAGCAGAAATACAGGAGAAATATGATGACAGATTTACTACAGAAACTAAATAAAATCTGTCATTCAGTAATTACTTAAATGAACAAGAAATAAATGAACAAAGGATTATTTGATGACATGCTCTATTTAATTTATTATGAAAGTGAAAGAAGGTACTTTCCATTTAATCACAAGTCGACATAAATGTCATTCCATCTTTCTTAAATTCCATGGGTAAAACAAAGTCTGAACGATACTTGTATCATTAAATGGAAAGCACCTAGATATTCTTCATGAATCTGCAAACTCCTAACATTTTATTGCAGTTACAAATTATCCAAAATTAATTCTAAATAGTGCTTCGATGTAAATTTATGATTCCTTAATGTTGTTGCTAACATTATAAGATCTACATTATATAAATAACATTATAAAATCTAATCTTTAGTAATTGTTTACATTTTTAGAACTAAATCTAGTTGCAGTCTGAAATTATAATGTAACGGCACCTGAAGCATCCAAGGAGAATGATGGCTTCGATCTGCCGACGTTGGAGATTATGGATATTGCCTGTGCTGACCTGCCTATATGCATTACTCATTGTTATACTTGTACCAATCTTGCTAGTCAACTCTGTTAAGAATGGCTTTAAGAAGCAGGATCAGGGTGCGCTGGTGGGTGGCGCCTTTGTTCTACTAGCATTGCCTATTGCATTTTATGAGATTGTTCAGCACATGATATACTATACGCAACCTAGACTACAAAAATATATAATAAGGTAGGCTGTTTGTTGCTAAAAAAGTTTGCATTTAGTTTTAATAGTTCTCTTAATCAAGTATTAAATATAAAAATTTTATTTTTCGTTTCAGAATATTATGGATGGTACCCATCTACGCAGTAAATGCTGTAAGAAAAAGTTACAAATTTTTCTTGTGTATCGTCAAAATTATACAAATATTTATTTATTATACGCAGTTGTTTAACGAATGCTTTCTATTTGTATAGTGGTTAGGTTTGGTATTTCCTGAAGGAAGTATATACGTGGACAGCTTGAGAGAATGCTACGAAGCTTATGTAATATATAATTTCATGAAGTATTTACTGGCCTATCTGAACGCCGACCACCAGTTAGAGCATAGACTGGAGATTTCTCCCCAAGTGCATCATATGTTTCCTCTGTGCTGCCTACCCGATTGGGAGATGGGCAGAGAATTTGTACACATGTGCAAGCATGGTATTTTACAATATGCAGCTGTTAGGCCTATATCAACTTTAATATCATTGTAAGTAATTGATTGATAAAGATATGTATTTCTAATATTGTGTGTTACAATATTTAAGTGTATATTTCTATATTTGTAGCATATGCGAACTGAATGGAGTATATGGGGAAGGTGAATTTAAAGGAAATGTCGCTTTCCCATATATGATCGCTCTAAACAATTTGTCACAATTCGTTGCTATGTACTGTCTGGTACTCTTTTACCGTGCCAACGTAGAGGCCTTGAAGCCAATGAAGCCAATTGGAAAGTTTTTATGCATCAAAGCTGTCGTGTTCTTCTCATTCTTGTAGGTATTGCTGTAATGTCCGCACAATTGTTAGAAAAATATACAAACAAAAAAATTCACGAATTAAAATATCACAGCGAGAAAGCTGTTTTCTCAACAAAATAAATTCAAACAATTTTTGAAATATAAAGGCTTTGAGATATTAAAATTGGCCAATTACAGATTATAATTAAACAGTTGGCTGCTCATGCTCGCGATCCATTGCGTAACTCACGGAACAGTCGTTTAACCGTAATCTATAATTAGCTAGTTTTTAAACTTTTGTCTTACAAATTATTATTTGGAATGAAAAATGGCAAAAATTTTTTTAATTAATTTTTTTAAGGACTTTCTTATCATGATATTTTGATTCAAGACATTCTGAAAATGAGATGGAAAAATACATAATGTTTTTTATTTACAGTCAAGGAGTATTAATAGCTCTTTTGGTGTATTTTGACGTCATATCGAGTATTTTTAATACTGATAACTCAGATGATATCAGGAATATATCGTCCAAATTGCAGGATTTCCTAATTTGCATAGAAATGTTTTTAGCCGCAGTGGCACATCATTATAGCTTCTCCTACAAACCGTTTGTCAATTTGGCACAGGGTCAAGCGTGGTGGGACGCATTTAGGTTAGTAAAACAATAATAAATATTACTTATGAGACATTTTTAAACAAATTGTCTGTTTATTTTAATTTTAAAAAATTTACTCTGACACTGGTGCTGAAATTATATCTTTATTCTGTAAATTAATGCATTTGATTTATCTTTACAGAGCAATGTGGGACGTTTCTGACGTGCATAATGACATAAAGGAACATTTGGGTGTTGTCGGCTCGTCCCTAAGCCGCAGAATACGAGGACGTGGTGCATATCAGCAGACTTGGGGAAGTGCGACTGAACGTACATCGCTCCTACCCGAGGCCACGGTAAGCCAAGCCAGAAGCGCACCTGCCTGTTCATTCTCGGGTTACAACACCGAGGCCGGACTGAACAATAATCCATCCGTTGCGGAATCCGAGGAGGTGACCGTGAATACATTGGATAGCACTAATGCTATTAATACGTAACCGATACGATTGATTTATTTGCGTGGGAACGGTACTCGATCAAATTTGTTGCGGCGTACTAACGGATATCTAACATCGCTCTTTAATATTAACTCTAAACGAAGAGGAGGAAAAAATTATATAGTTTTGCAACAGCATTCTCCAGCATACAATTGTATAAATCATCATGATCATTTACTATATCATATACATATTGCGTTGAAATGTATACATGGTGTCCCGGGATCACGGAATGTTCCTTGAATCACGATCGATTCGAAGAGGATTCCATCAACAAGAATATCGGTATAATCTTTGATAATGTTGATTGTAATTCAAGTTTGTGATGTTCTGAACTCAAAAAAATCTGTATTTAAATTTCGCTCGAAATTTAAAAATAATATGCGAAATCTCATTGTACATTCTTTCTACTGAAACATCGACTTCAAATCGATTAAAGGAAAAAGATCCAGTAGTCTCAGGATATCCTTATGACGCGATTTACTACTTAAGAAATTTGATATGACTAACGGTGAATTTTGTGAGGAACGTGAACTCGCTTTTTACGTTCTTACTTTGCGAAAGACATTCGTGCTTTATGTTACCAAATAATATAATACCAAATATGATGTACATACATTTATATATACGTATACGTAGAAAGAAATGTAATCCCGTAATATTTGTACATACGTCCAACGCGTCACATACATACACACATCTATTACATTTTAGGTGCGATCCATTTCACGTTGCAAATACTTTGAAGCATTCTTTGATCAATTCGTAAAATTCTTTTTTTCTGATTAACAAAGCATTTACATTATGTTAAGTGGATCGCATTCTTTATATCACGTACGGATAATACTTAATCTTATTCTTTTTCTTTCGATATATCAAAAGTCACAAGAACGAATTGTCTGGTATATCAGGCGCCTCGGATTTCCTATTCACCCATATCTATTCTGTTCTTTCTAGCTTTATATATACACACGCGAATGTGGGTATATATCGCACTATGTATATTAATTTACTTTTATTTTATGATTATATTATATCAGAAATAAAGGCTGTGTATGTTCGCATTGACTTACAAAAAAAGTGACTTCCAGAAATTTTTTTCCTTTAAAAAAAAAGGAATGAAAAACATCCTTCATATTTAGCATTTTAAAAAAAGCGCGCACGTGTCTTTCAAATCTGGACTGATGGACCATGGCTGTGTTCACTTTGGCGCTTACAACGCTTTCAAGTGTCGTTTCATCCTTATTAAATATTAAACGAGGACAATTGATGCTCATAAGCGCTATAAGCGCTAAAACGAACGTAGTCCATGTGGCACATGGCTTGAGTTTTGTGCCATCTTCTATCGTTTCTTGTTCCTGTTTCTGATTTCAGCTAGGATGATCATGTGCCACTTGCGTTTTTCTGCGTTTAGACGCATATAACTGGCTGATCTCGCTGAAATATCTTGAGAAAATATATTGATTTCAAATTCAAATAATTTAGGTATGACAATCAGAAGTTCGTAATGACGGTGTTTCCTTGTATCGTTTGGAATAACGATTTTCAGTTGCTACACTGCATTTTGCATTGTATATATACATATATATATATATTTTTTTTTAGATATTATTGTATACGATTTATGTTAAGAGGAAAGGAGATGGCGAATAACGGTGTCGAGGTCGAGAAATTATTGTATGAAACGACACGGGACATGGAGCAGAAAATGAATGGAAAATCAAACAAAGAACACGAGGAATATCAGTATTTAAGATTGATCGAGAAGGTTATTCACAGTGGAGCAAAAAAGAGCAATCGCACTGGTGTGGACATTTATTCTATTTTCGGAACGCAAATGCGATTCAGTTTACGAGATGGTAAATGCAATGTAGTTTCAACTAGGATATTTATTATTGAGTTTATTTTTGGTAATGTAAAGGTAGTTGATAATAATTTTTAAGAATGGCAGATCTATAAATTTTTCAAAATAATTTATAATCTTTCAGAATATCAGTAGAAATGTAAGGGAATATAATGATAGATTGTCTATAGAAATCGAGTAGAATTTACTGACGAAACATTTAATATAGATACAGTTAATGCCACAATATTATCTTCGAATCTGATGGCATATTGTTAACATTTTGTTTATTTGATTACAGGTGTTTTTCCATTACTGACAACTAAACAAGTATTCTGGCGAGCAGTAATTGAAGAACTATTGTGGTTTATCAAAGGATCGACAAATTCCAAAGAATTGTCGGACAAGGGTATTCACATTTGGGATGAAAATGGTTCACGAGCTTTCTTGGATTCCTGTGGCTTCACTGACAGAGAGGAGGGTGATTTGGGACCTGTGTACGGTTTCCAGTGGCGATACTTTGGTGCTGAATACAAAGACATGCATACAAATTACACAGGACAAGGTATTTTTGATAAAAGTATTCTTTAAAATAAATTATCTAAAATTCTCCTTTTCATATATTTGTTGAATACAAAAAAGTGTAATTGAAACTGTGTATACTTATTCTAGGAATAGACCAATTGAAGGAAGTCATTCACAAAATAAAGCATTCTCCTGAGGATAGACGTATTATAATGTCAGCCTGGAATCCGGTTGATATTCCAAAGATGGCATTGCCGCCGTGCCACACTTTGGTACAATTTTACGTAAATAACGGAGAATTGTCCACGCAGCTTTATCAAAGAAGCGCAGACATGGGTTTAGGAGTGCCATTTAACATAGCGTCATATTCCTTGCTGACGTACATGATCGCTCATGTTACTGGATTGAAGGTAAGGATCGATACTCCATACTCAAATTCCAGATAAATTTTGTTCTATTTTTTATTTCCTTTTATTTTTCAGCCAGGAGAATTTGTACATACAATGGGAGACTGCCACGTTTACGTCAACCATATAAGTGCCCTTGAGGAACAGGTAAAACGCGAACCGCGCGAGTTTCCAAAATTAAGGATAGTTAGAGAAGTTAAAGATATTGACGATTTCATTACCGAAGATTTCGAGTTGATAAATTACAATCCATACTCCAAACTCTACATGAAGATGGCTGTTTGAACTACCTCGCTTGAATAAGCTTAATCCTCTGAATCTACGTAATTTACATTTCGTTTTCATAAAATTCATTAATGAAGCGACATTGACTGCATTCAGTAGAAATAGAAGTTTTACAGCTATTGTATGATTCTTTAACAGAACTGATTCCTCTTGTACTTAGTTCCTCAGATCTGTTTCTTAGATATAAATATATAACCAATCATGCTTTTTTTGAAGCTTCTCTTCTGTGATACTTGCCTAATATTACCTCATAACCAATATTAAAGAATTTTACAGTTATAAAGTTACTACCTTTTTTTCTGAACGCAGTCCTTTTCTGTTTAATGTACTTAACTAATAAACGAACGTTCTAGAAACATAATCTTTCTATAGTATTTTTGATCAGTATTAAGATACACCGATTAAGTGATAGTACTTTCAATTATACAATATTTTCGACTTGAAAGAGATATAAAAAAATTATCTTAATATAGCTCGATTTCTCTTTATATATGGGCTGATGGAAAAATGATGAATAATATCTTATATTGTAATCTCCTAGCTATTACATATATCGTAAGTAAAGTCTTATATACGCATATACATTTGCTATGTATATGTATATATTTAACTAAACTTAACTTTCTAAGAGAAATATTTTTAATAAATCTTGTACCTTAAGTATATATCAATATTTTCAATATCCATCGCATGTAATTCATGCAAATCTATCACGATTCGTTTCCTTATTCCAATAAAAATTATCGCACGCGCTATTCCAACTTCTATATTACACAAATTAATTTTTTTTCGGTTGATTATGATCAACAAGTATGGACGATCGCAAAAGGCCTTATATAAGCAGTTTCTATAAGTATAACAAAATTATGTAATTCTATATATAATATGTATAAATTCGTTATTTTTTTAATATAAATCAGTAAGAATATTGGAAATAATTGTTCTTGCATCATAAACAAAAAGATTATTTTTAACGAAAATTTAGATAGAACTTTTATATATAAAATGCAGTTTTATTTTAAACTAACTTCGCGTCTCTCCTATTAATATTTCAATCGGGATAAAAGTATAGCCAAATCTATTATATATTTTATTAATGGCTCTGCTACACAGCAATTTCTTTTTACGAGATGCTGGAGCGATAAAAAGCTCCGTTGTGAAAAAAGCAACTATACAAAATTTAGAAATAACTGCCGATTCTCACAACGATTTGAGAGACGTTTTATACAATATTTTGCAAATCTTTCTTAAGGGAGATTTTTGTACGTCAAAGGCTAGCACATTTGTACATCATTGGACTGTGTACTTAATTGATGCAACTGTTGAGTGACCGCCAATGTGCCGCATTCATTCACCGTTATGATCACCCAGATAACATCTACGACAAAAAAATCATTTTGCGATAAAATACGATTGAATCAAATAGAGCAATCTAGAAAAGGAATCGACGAGTTTTATTTTGGAATCAATGGAAAAACAAACAGTAATATTTTTTTGTGTTTAAGTTTTTGCGTTTAAGTTTTTGTGTTTAAGTTTATTAGTTTAATATCAACAAGTAAATTGAAAATCACAATCTATGTGTACGTCTCAATTAATATACAATTAATTGATATTAAAATTATCCAGCAAGATCGATTTATCGATTTACATTAGTAGAACATTTATTTATTTCTTTTAATATTACATGCTCTTAAATTCGCTGATCCTTTTTCTATATCACATTCTGTCGGAAAGGCTGTATAGAATTCACGAGGAATTACCACCAAAATAGACACCATTGGGCGTCATCATTCTCCATTTACTCTGATGAACGCCGGTTTCAGCCGGACTTTTCAATGTTACGCTTAACTCTGTGGCTTCCTTGGGGGCCAATGGTGGAACAGATATTCGCGCGCAGCCCATTTGCACTCCACTAGAATGCTGCAGGTGGATCCCACTGGGCCATGCCTCGGTACCACTGTTCTGCACACGCCATGACTTCTGAAAGTTTGTATTAGGTGGCACAGCTTCTCCCTCGCCGATCGTACTGTCGCATATTAATGTCATACACGGTGTGTTGAAGGGATTTCCAAAATCAATATAGCTGCAAATTGCTGCTTGCAAATTCCTGGAAGAAAATTTATATTACAATAATATCTAGCAGAAAGGAATGAATTCTATACTTACTCCCAAAAAAAAATAAACTACTGTAACATTACAATAACTCGCTTAATTGTGGATGAGTACATTTCTAAATTTAAATGATAAGATTTCAACTTGGGTTTTATATATCTTAATGTAATAATGACATTGTTCAATTGTTTTGTTATCTGCAAACAATTAAAAGAGGCAAAGACAAAGACAATATCATTATGATTGAAACATAAATTGCATTGTGAAACAATTTTCATTTGAATATTTAATTGACGGTTGAAGTAACAAATCCACATATAGTTCTAATTTTTAAATCAACAATTAGTTTAAATGTTAATTAAAAATTACTATCCAGCATCATTGATCTACTGAAATTTTTTTTAGCTATGCTTTGCATTTAAACAATGACACTTTTATCTTCAAAATACAAAAACATATTATGCGTTAAATTGCGGGTTAAAAGAGTATGACCACAAAGTCCAAAATCAGACTCTGAAATGGGACACTGACAATATTTTGACACAGATTTTTTATAAAAGCAAGGCAACGGCATCTCGACGAGGAAAAAAAAAGAGAAAATTAAAAGAAAAATGACGCATTACCCTTCGAATTCGAAAAAAAAAAAAAGAAAAAGATCTTTCAGAGAGGTCCGAGAAAGAACGATACCCCTGCGGGGTAAACATGGCGATACAAGGTTATGTACGTGGACAGCGTACACAGATGACAAAGTAGCGTTCCGATAGGGGGAATGTCCGTTTACCAATTGTTCATGTCAAGGAAGAACGCAGCAGTGGTCTCATTCAGATGGCTATCTGCCAATAACTTCTGCAGCTGCTTCACTAAGTCATCTTTGTCCGTGGTGCCCAGGCAACTGAACTGATGCAGCAAGTGTTGGTCCAGATCGTTGTTGCGATCCATGATCGCTGCTTCTTCAACAGCACTCAACTTGAACGATGACTCAATGCCCCATGTGCCCCAGGCTGTCAAAACTGTCAACGTCGGACTGTCAACCCTGTCTGCTCTGTTTATCTTTCCACTTCCTCTCCGTCGTCGTCGTCGTCGTCGTCGTCGTCGCCGTACTCTTAGTCGCGGATTTTAAATGTCATTCTCCCAAGTGATACTCGGTCCGTATCCGTACTGTGCATATCCACGGTACCCAGTCCAGAGCCGTCGAATTCTGGATCCTTCCTATAGTTGGGCCCTCCCCTTTCGTCTCGCCTGCATGAGATTGCAAGTCATTCGTACTTCCGTTTTTCTCTCCTTTTTCTCTTTACCTACCTAAGGACTACTTGCCAATTTTGGAAATGTATTATAGTCCAATCTTTTACACTGTTACAAAAAAATTATGCATAGGTCTAATAGACGTTGGGATCGTCGATTTTCTCGATAACGGTGATAGATACGACTTTAACGCATAAAATCTTTTTCATAGCTCTTGTCGAGAAGAATCGAAATGATTCTGTGAAATTTTATCATATTTGCCATCGTTCTCAAGATAGTGGCTCTTTTGTCTACAGCCGTGCGTAACATTTTTTTATATTTACTTTATATATTCGTATTTGAGATTAATTTATTATAAATTTATATATTTAAATTTAAGATCATTGTTTATATTTTTGATTCCAACAAAGCAACCATGATTTTGAGATCGTGCCTGAAACAATTTTAAAGATTAATGCAAAAGATGTTGCCTTGATCTTCAAACGCGCAGCGAAAGATTTGAAAATAAGTGTGAATGTCATCGCAATCTCCGGTCTCGTTCCAAAAAGTTCAAATTTATTTCGATGTCTCTTATAATTTCCCGATCTTCTATTTCTTTTTTCAATTCGCGATGCTTGATCGCCTTCCTATCTGTTCGTTACCGCGAGTTATCTCAGTAAGGGCGGGGCTCCGCGAATCGATGTCGCGCCCCTACGCAGTATACTCCGTATAAAAAATAGTATTTTTCGCGCGACAGTCTGTGCAAAAACGATAAATAAGCGATAAATTGCCTTTCGCAGTCGTGCGCGTTACCTTGACCTTGTCGCAGAAAATTGGAGTTTTTCTTGAAAATAAATAATTTACAGATATCGAAATAGTGTGAGTTTTAACGAATGGAAAATGTCTCTTTCTAGGAATGCTTATCCCAGGAATGCTTACCTTCTTTATCTTTTTCTTCCTTTCAGTAATAATTGCCAAAGCAACTTCGAAAAATTTTTCGTTGCTTTCATTACGTATTATATTTATCAGTTTGTTTTAAAACTTTCACGTAATATATAGATGAGATGTCCAGAAAAAAAGATACTATAATTTACATCTCTCGGATATCACATACAGTCAAGAACAAAAACGCCGTTCGTAATATCAATACGTAATAATTTTTAATGCGAAGTTATATATATCCTTATTCTTATTATATTGTCTTATTTTACAAGAAATAAATATAAAATCAAAAGAAATAGTTTCTTAATTAAGAAATCTAATAAAAAATTAACAGAAATTTATTTTTAAATACATAAATTTCAATTAATATATTCAATTAATATATTTCAATGAATATTTTAAAGTCATTCCACTTCCGTTAATCATCAAATAATTCACTTGACAAAATTATTTAAAAAGTAAAATTTATAATTATACAATTCATTCTTAATCTAATCGTTCTTCTTACGTAATAATAAAAAATAATGATAATTCTTTTAACAAAATACTGCAGGAAAAGGAGAAAAAATGAAAAATACAAAAAGTTCAACAAATCGGACCTCACGAGTGTAACTGCATTGCCGTGCCTGCACCTATTCAAACGATCGACCAATCGCTGGACGGAACGACGCGACAAGAATCATGGTGGGGATAGCTCGAGTGCAGTTCGGTCGTCGGCACTGGACGGCTGCTTTTGCCCGCAACTGTACTCATCATCGGAAGTGCGCATGTGCAACGCGCGTGGCGCGGGACAGCCGACATTCGAGACAAACGAGCGGCGCGCACACGGCTGTGACGGACGCTCTCTGCGGGCGCTCGATTACGACGATACGGGGAGAAAAAAAAATAATCGGACGGCTCATTTCGGAAGCGTGTCCCGCGCTGGACGTGCACGGCGAACGCGGGGCGGAAAGCCGCGCATGAATCGCGGTATGACGGAGCGTGTCTGAAGTTGAAACGAAAAAAAAAAACGGAGCTGAAAGTTTTTCACGCATTCCTAGTCTTCGACGATGATCTTGCGACGAATTCGGTTGAGATAGAAGAACGTGGAATATTTCAGGGCACCTCGCGTGAAAAAAAAAACGAATAAACACAGCAAACGGGAACAAGGTATGAGATGTTTTCGCGTTTTTCATGGCGATGTTTATTGAATTTATGTTATAATTATACATCACACTTGTTTTTAGCTTGTAGCTAATATTGCACACAAACGTCAGAATAATTATTTTCCAAATGGAGAATTATTTGATGCACGAGCTAGCTTTGCTGATTTTTTATTTTGCGAAAAATAAATAGATTTAAAAAAATGGTTTATTTAAAATCGTTTATTTAAATTAATGGAAATTTATGTATTTTATAAATTTAAATTCTGAAACGTTAGATTTTTTATCTCAATTTTCAATATTTTATGTTAGAAATTTAGTTTTTTATTTTTGGTTTTACAGGCTAAAATTTCTGCTTCCTTTTATTTGTAGGGTAGGACGAAACTATTCTGTCGGTTTCAACTTTAAAATAATACAATTTAAAATTTACGATAACAAACAATATCTCTAGTGATGTACTTATAATTACATTATACAATCATGATTGCTCTTTGAGGATACAACCTTTAAATAATCAACTTGTTCTGTCCAGAAACATTATCGCAAGAAATGAATAAAAAAGCCCTGATCTATATAAATAATTCCTTTTGTTTATTTATTATTTTGCCTATTTTTAATAGGCCTATCCGCTGACTTGCACTTGCTAGCAGCTCGAAGGCCGACAAAATGATCGGGCCATCGTCAGGGAATGCTGGCGAGGTCACCGAGAGTCAGTGCTGTGCCTCCGCCAAACGGAAGATCTTCGACGACTTGGAGGTCGATGGCTCCAAACGAAAGGTCTTTGATGAGTTGGACATTGACAGCTTCTGCGATGAGGTCCGCCAGACGAGTCGCAAACACTATCTCGAGGAACTGGAGACGCCAGTGGAGCTGGTGGCTACATCAAACGATATCATCGCCAACGCGGCGGCACTCTTCTCGCCGATGTCTGCCCAGGAGGTCATCGAGGAATCACAGGTGACGCGTCTGGAAGTATTGCTGGTGGATGGCACAAACTGCACCTGGACGACCATGTCAGAGCTGGAACAACAGCAGAATGTGGATATTCTCGTGACCTCGTCTTCCTCGTCGTCGTCTTCAGTCTCATCAACCTCGTCCTCGTCAAATACATCTGGATGTGCAGAACGTCATCCTACGGAAACTTATATTGAAGAGCTTCATTATCAGCCGACAGTATCAATGAATTATTGGGAACCAGTCGCCGCCCCCGTAATCTCGCTTGCCAATCTGAACACGCAGCAAAATAAAGGAACAATAAGCAATAATCAGCAACAGCAGCAGCAGCAGCAGCAGCAGCAGCAGCAACAGCAATTCGAGGATCAAGAGAATGGAAATTTGTCATGGTTGTTGGACTTCAAACTGGATTCATTCATCGAAGCCGCGGATGATAGATGCACTATAGGACCCACCGCAACAACAAAGAACAATTATTGTGGTGAGAAAAGTGTGCAATACAAAATAAATGTTCGAAACAACGCTTTCACGAATATTAAAATTAAAGAAAGATAAAAAAGGTAGAGAGATGAAAAAGAAAATAAAGAGATATTGTATGCTTTGGTGTCAGAACTAGAAACTTTATTTAATTTTAACTTTATTAAATCTTTATTTAAATTAAATAAAATTGGAGCTAAATAAAGTTCTTGTTATTTAAAAAAATTTTCTTTAGATCGATCGATAAAACGAATCGCGAAATTTCCTGCTTGACTATTTTCGAAACGATAATAAATGGTGTCCCTAATGAAAATTCTTTTTAGAATGTTTATATAAATTTTCAAATTTTTTAGAATTTCTGAATAACTTTGTAATTTTTTAGAAAATTTTTTAGGTTTTTTTACAGACAATCTATACGTCTTTTTTAGAAATCTTCATATATGTGCATTCTGAAGTATTCTATGATTCATTTTATAATAATTTATAATTTGATATAATTTTATAAAATCTGAAAAAGTTTAAGGTATTTTTCACAAATTATAGAAACTATTCACATATTTCAGAATTCACATATACATATAAAAAATATACATATAAAAAATAATTCTAAGAAAAGATATAAGATTCTCAGTTTTTTCCAAAAGTGTTCCTTATTATTGTGAAAATTTTGAGAAACTTTTTCACCAGGAATAGTCTTCAAAAATTTTATTATTTAATTAAATTACGATTTTTAAAAATGCGTATATTCCTTATAATCTTAATATATCTCAATTAATAGAACGGTTCCGCGGCTAATTGCGCATTTTCAGGCAATAAGAATAAACCGAACGGAAGGTCGCATGGTTCCAATTACGCCAACGACGTCAAGAGAGGATATGGCAGTCACGAAAATTCGTCGATGTATCGACAGGACGTAAACCAGGCGACTTATCCCACTAACGGAAACGACAGTCGAAATTTCTCGTCCGCGCGATCCAATGGGCCAAAGAAGCCACCCTTTACTTATACGGAATTGATAGAACATGCGCTACAGGAAAGAGGCGAGCTCACTGTTTCCGCGATTTATCAGTGGATCTCGTAAGTTGGCAGGAAATTTATTTAGTCAAAACTTTGATTTGTTATTTGCTTATATATTGCAACGCCTTACCAAATTTATTGTCCATGACCGCCATGCTATAAGCTACTTTCTCTACAATCTTTCCTTCATAGCCTTTCAATTAAATATCTAATTAAACATACCAATTAAAATATTATTTCTTCCAATTTATTCTTATATTTTATATACCTATTTTTTAATTCTTAATTTTAAACGGAATCACAAATTAAAATAAAACATTCCATTGATTAAAACTGATAAGTTGACCCTACGAGAAAAATATTTATAAGTTTTATTCGAAACAGACGGAGTGTTTTTCTTAGTTGCGTATTAGACGCGCAAAGGGTTTTCTACAAATTTACACGAACGTAGCCCGCTGGTTGGGGGTGGGTCGACGGAGGTGGGCTACTTCTAGATGGTACCCATTGGTACCACTGCCCCCATTGCTTGGCACCACCTGGCACTAACTCCTCACCCTTCAGCTATCTTCGTTGCAGCCCTCAACACGAATGCGCACAATTTACTGCTCCTGTGCCTTCACCTGTTCGATCGCTATTCGAGCTCCTTGGAAAATATGTATATATAGATTATTCAGATTCAGCCGCGTAGGGCACCGCTCGAACGAGTCAAAAGAAATATCTCTGCAAAGAGACAGACTATAAATATACATAAATAGAGTCTATAAACATAATATGTATAATATTAAAAATCATAATCTTATTTTCACATTTTTTTTGCCTTATTCAAGATTATCAATGGCTGAAAAAGCAACTTTGCAACTATTATAAAATTTTTTGATACTAAAAAAAAAATTTTAACAGCATTATTTTAATTAAAAATAATTTTGTTGATATAATAACAGTATTAATGAAATAAATGAAATTTTATTAAAATAAGAGCATAAATATTTGTTTCATTAATGATATTATTTAATTAACAAAATTATTTTCAATTCAGATAATGCTGTTAATACATCATTTTTTTTTAGTATGATTAACACAATTATAACATGATTTATACATTTAGAGTTATGAGGACAAAATCAATCATATTAAAGAATATTTTATAATAGTATTGCAGCTTGAAATCATAGTGTGAGTATGTATTAAGAATATTATTTTTATCGCATCAATACACAAATATGACTTAGGCTGGGTTGTTCCATTTTTCAGTAAACTTTAGCTCACTGTCTTACTCTCTTGCATTCTTATGTTCTTTCACTCTTTTGTTTATCCAGTAAATAAATTAGTTTGTTCGAAGATGGAACAATCAGCTCTTAGAAACAGATTCATTAAAATGTTGGTGTAAATGACAACATTCATTGCGATCATCATGATCAGCGGAGCGAGTAAATGCACCCTTGGCTTAAATGTTTCTCGTTCTCCACCGAAACTCGTGAAATTAATCGCGAAGAGGGGGTGCGTAACGCACCGTGACATCGCTGCGAGCAGGTGAAGGAAATTAGTTTCGTAGGGACGCAAATTACCGCCGTGCATTTTTATGTGTATTATTGTCCTTAATCATATTCCCGTCGATTTGCTAAGTGATCATAGTAGCTCTTGCAAACACTTTATTGAATTATTCAATAAAAAAAAACCTTTATTTTGAATAAAAATATGAACCGTTTTTTGTATAATTAAAAGAAAGGATACTTTTTGTCATTTTCAGCGAGCATTTTCCTTATTATAAAAGCAACGATGATCGCTGGAAGAACTCCGTCCGGCATAATCTCTCGATAAATCCGCACTTCAGGAAAGGATCGAAGGCGACTCATGGAGCAGGTCATCTTTGGGCGATCGCGAATCGTGGCGATTGTAGACCTCGTTCATTACCAGTTACTAGTCTGACAAATACTACACAAATACAAGTAACACAAAATGAGTCTGAAGAATCCCGGAGTAACAAAATCATCAGGTAAACGTCTATTCATAAAATTTTGTAAAGCTATTTCTTCACATTACTGAACATTCTTAACATTACAGCCAAATTATGGACGAGGTGGAGGCTGCGACGGCGAGCATCACACAGCCGAATTCTGAAGAGGATGCGGACGATATACTGAATTCTGTGACGCTCGAGCATTCCGCCGAGCAAATACTCAACGGAATAAAACGGCAAGTGGAAGTGCAGTATCTAGTTCCTATGGTGAACGATTCCGAGGCAGGTCAACAGAATGAACAGATAGAGCAACAAACGGATACGCTCCAATGCTCCTTCAAGGAAAGTGGTAAGGATATATTATAATCAATGTTTCTTTCAGGAAGAGATCGACTCGACGTTAATGAAACAAAATTTATCGAATAATGAAATTTATTGCAGATTTTCTGAACCCGGTATCCAAGGAAGTCGTCGCTGAGGAATGCGGACTCGTAAACGAGGGATATCTAGTCACGGATCCGACTACTCTGGGATTAAACGTGGTCGATCCCGAGATTATAGGATCGGAAAATCTCTTCGGTGAGGAGCTCAGCTTTCAATTTTATGAATTGACGTCGCCGTCGCAGCTGCAATCCGCCTGACACACAGAGAGCAACAAAGTACATCTTATTGTGATTGACGAACTTCAGATACAGAACGCACGATCGTATGACAACCAGCTGGTTCGCAATGTTGCCGAAACCGAGAAGAATGTCTCAGAGCGGGAAAACTCGCAGAAAAAATCGCTTGTCAATAGCGATCGGATCAACGAGGACTATACGATGACGAGAAGCTGATCTTACTTGAGAAATTTTTTATAATGACTCGGAATGTTCGATCATTTTATTCGACGCGGCTGCTAAATTAACTAGAAGCTTAATTGAATCAGCTGAACCAGTTAATTGATATGTTTTATGGATGGATAACGAGTCAATTACAAATACGAGGAAATCTTATTTCTCAAATACAACATAGTTCGAGGATTTGATAATCGCGATAATCACCGAAAGACTTTAGAGTGACCGGAGTGAGATCAGAAAATAAACAACGTAATTACATATCGTCCAACGTGTGCCTGGTTAAGTGTCTTAAAGAGGAGCATTATTTATCAACTATGCATTAAATTTCTTCTAGTCTTTTGCGAAACAGTGTGTAATGTTTTTGTATTAGTAAAAAAAGTATGATATTTATTATTATGTATATTGTCCCTGAGATTTTATACTCTCGCCAAAATAAGCGCGAAGTGCCCGTTGGAAAGTTTCTACTATAAAGATAAACTTCTAATAATGTAAAACAGAGAAAGGCATTTGGATATCTTTTGATCAAAGCCAAGTTCACTTCGCGATGTTTAGCGTTGAGATATGAGAACGCTGATTGCTTAAATAAAATATAAAGAAAAATGTTACGTGGTTTAATCGTATTGGCTGTAATAGGCATCTAAAAGAGAACTCTAATGAATTATAAATTTATTAGCTATACAATTAGAACATTTTACTTTGCGAAAGAAAATGTAACTATTCTACAGGTTTCGTTGAATCAGTTTCTTGTTCTTGATTCATTTTTTGGATCTTGCTCTTTAATTTTTCCTCTTTCGCCTTCTTCTTAGCTTCCTTTTTCTTCTTCCTTTCCTCCTTTTCTTTTTGCTCTAGCATCGTCTTAAATCTCTCATCATGAGGAGAGATCTTGAAGCCAAAGTGTTTCCTAATCTCCTCCACTATGCGCTCCTTACGCAACTTAGCAGCTTCCATTTCAGCTTCCTTCTTAGCGATCCTTGCGTTCAACTCGGCCGTCCATTGGTTCACCTTCGATAATTTTTCGGCTATTTCAGCTTCCCTACAAACACATTATATACATTATATGTCATACATTAATATGCCGTTCCAAAAACGTTTGTAAACTTGCAGATAGTAACTGGATTCAGCAGAAAACATCTTTGCAACTGTTGTAAAATTCTTTAATATAATTAGTTTATACATTTAGATCTAATAAGGAACTAAGGACAAGATTAATCATATTAAAGAATTTCATAACAATTGCAAAGCTTCTTTTTATATTGAACGCAATCAGTGATAAAACTGATAAAGACATGCCTTGCTTTAATCTTCTCAGCCTTTATCTGTTTTTTCTCCTCCAGCTTCTTCCATCTATCTTGAAGGGACTCTGGAAAGGCGACTCTCTCATACTCCTGTAAGATCTTGATCTCTTCTGGCGTAGGCCATGCAAACCCAGCTGGCTCCTTGTTGCCTTCGAATCCATATCTACCTAGCATGCGCTTCTTGTATCTTACTGTATTGTGATACCACTCAATAGGCTGCTCATAGGGAGGTTTGCCCATAAGTATATTCCTATCTTCCGGACTCAGCCGGGACTTGTTTCGTTTCTTGGTGAGCTCCTCCTGGTACTGGGGCTCTTGGTACTCGTCCGAATATATTGGTTGCTCGTCAGCAGCAGTTATGTCGACGATTTCGTCCTTCGCTTCCGTAGCAAGGAAACGATTGACGACGACGCCTTGGAATCGCACATTTCGTTGAACAATAACATCGTAGATCCATCGTCTTAGACTCATCGAAATGACGAAACGTATCCCAGGTATCACAGGATCGCAAATATAGGTTAAGTTTAAATTGAATTAAATCAAGACGATTAAAATAAAAATGCGTCAAATGATATAAGAAATTGGGATGTGAAAATTATCAGCTGCTACAAGAGACAGACGATACATACGTGCAAGGGATGTACTTTCGAAGAAATCACAATTGTGTTTATGAGAATATAACCTATCCGAATTAGTGTTATCGAACAGTCAAACTCATGCGAGTTATCAATTTGCATTAGTCCGTTTAGGTTAGAGTATTGAAAGTGTGGTTCAACGGCACATATGAACAGGCACGATCGCGATGGCGAAACGTCTCTCGAGGGTAATATAATTAGAGTTAATAATATTAATTGATGATGGGAAAGCTAAACAAAATTATTCAATTGTTTATTGTGAACAGTTACCGGGAAAGCACGGAGAAACATACGGGACTTTTGTCTTCGACGACGAGGGACATACCTTGGGAAATGCGCTCGCTTCTGTGATAAATGAATAGTACGTATCATTTAAAATTTATGAATGTAATTTCATCATAGAATATTGTATTTTTATTCTTCCAAATCTTTTCTGCAGTCCAGGCGTAAAAATATGTGGCCACACTGTGCCGCATCCTGCAGAAAAGAGGGTGCACTTGAACATCCAAACAACTGGTGAAAATGTAATCCAAGTATTGAGACGGGGCCTCCAAGATCTTGAGAGAATGTGTGATCACACGATCGAGACATTTAATAAAGCCTACGAAACACATAAAGCTACAAAAGAAGACTCGGTAGATACTACATAACACTGTCATTTCTTTTAGATTCTTAATATGTTACAAATAAGTTTTTACAACTTTTATTAACTAAGAATAAAAAGTTTGTTTAAAGGCATAGAGTCTAAACTTCTTAATAAAACAAATTGAATAATTAAAACGTTTGGATGATTTTCATTAATTATATGTACATATATACATAATATGTATATACTAAATAGTTAACACTAAAACAATTGATGGAATTTCGCTAAAAATTATCAAAGATAACAACTTAGTAATCTTCTAATTTTCTTTTCAGTTAGAAAATAGTTATTCTGATTCTATTTGTGTTATATTTTCATATTCTTAATATTCTGTCTATGTTATAAAAAAAAATTAAAATGATTAACAGAGTTAAAATAGCACCATTGATCGTTTTAGTGTTAATATAATATATGTATCAACATATTCTGTGATGATACATGCAACATTGATTGTAGTTCCAGCACCTATTGTCTATTAGTTTCTATTTTGCTCAACGAAATGAAGGAAAATAGGAAGTATTAGATTCCTAAGAAGCAAGAAATTGGAAGGGAAAAAAAATAATTATTTTACAATTTTTCAAAGCGCTTTCACAGAGGCTTTATTTAGACAACTTCGGCCGCTCTCGCGCCTCCTTTGTGAGTTTTGGACAGATAGTCAGCGAATTCTTGATACGGTGCCTTAGCCAGAGCTTGTTCCTTCCACAAGTCAGGCGTCAGATATGCGTAAGTCTTGGCAATCGCAGCGTAAGTGGCCTTGGCAAAGTTACCGAGTGTACAGGTTGATCCTCTAGCTGAAGTATAGCAGTCCTCGATACCAGCCATCTGAAGAAGCTTCTTAGGAACTGGGGCAGATACGATGCCGGTACCTCTGGGTGCAGGTATTAGACGCACCTGTACGGAACCGCACTTGCCAGTTACCTTACATGGCACTGTGTGCGGCTTGCCGATTTTGTTGCCCCAGTAACCACGTCGAACTGGTACAACGGACAACTTAGCCAAAATAATAGCACCACGAATCGCAGTGGCTACTTCCTTAGAGCATTTTACTCCCAGTCCAATATGTCCATTGCTGTCTCCAATGGCAACGAAAGCCTATAAAATGTTATATTTTAAATACTCTTGTCTCTCTAAAGTTTTATATAGTTCTAGTTACTTTTCTAATTAGTTCAATTTACTGTATCTTTTTTTAATTCTTAGAATTAGACAAAGAAACAATAAGTTAAGTCAAGATTAAAATTTATTTTACATTGATAGAACTGGAAAAAAAATATTTAAAAAATTTACCTTGAAACGTGTACGTTGACCAGCACGTGTCTGCTTTTGTACTGGCATGATTTTTAGAACCTCGTCCTTTAGATCTGGTCCAAGAAATTTATCGATGATTTCGTATTCCTTGATGGGTAAGGAGAACAAATAGATGTGCTCGAGAGACTGAATCTTGCCATCTCTGACTAGACGACCTAGCTTGGTAACAGGGACCCATTCTTTGCTATCCTCCTTGCCGCGTCCACGGCCGCGTCCTCTGCCTCTACCTCTACCACCTCGACCTCTCAGGCCTCCGCGATCACCTCCTGCTCCACGAGAACCAAAACCTCCACGAAAGCCACCGCGTGCGGCTGGAGCAGCGTCCGCCATTCTGTGATAAAAAAATTCATGATAAATTGGATCATTTATAATACATCCTACATTTCAATCTTATTAAAAGTTAATTACTTATTGCACATATTTTTAATATTGAAATTTGCAATAAGCCTGGTTAACCTTAAGCGGGCAACATCAATGTCGCCGACATATAGCATTTGAAATATATTAGGAAATACGATGAAAGTATTCATATAAGAATATCCATAGTTTTAACATCTTATACAGATGAACGAAAAATATGGAAAAATGATAGAAAAATTGAGGATTTTTTGAAATATACTCACGTTACTTCTTTCCCTTTCCTCGAAAATTACAGAAGAACCGGAAACACGAGGTGGAAACAAGAAATTAATATGTCTTCGAGATGGCGCTTCCTATGACGTAATATCCGATATTTAAAAAAAATGGTGTGTTCTTATCTAATAACGGGTTCGACATTTAGACATACAAAACAAAAATTTATCATACTATTAACTAAGTGATCGTAAAATATTTAAAACAGAATATTTAAAACAGAAAATATAAAAAAGTAAATAAAATATATTTAATATTCAGTAAAAAAGATTTAGAGAAATATTCTGTTATTCCAAAGTATGCAAACGAAAATATAATTTAGAAAGTAAAAAATGATATTTCTGGAAGAGAAGTAAAGAAAACAAATTTTTATTCATTGTGTATAACAATTTATAAATTTGTTACATTGTATAAACAATACAGAAATAAATATATGAAAATAGAAGTTTTTTATTTATCAGCTTATAAAATATTATAATAATAAAAAATTCTTATTTTACTTGTTTACCCTTTATATATACTGATACTATATTACGTTCATCACCGGCATATATAAATCTCTGGAAATTCTCTTCGAGTGTATATTCTTTAAAATTATCCAACAAACTGCCTTCTACGTTCATGTCAACGATGAGAGCATCGAATTCTTTGCCTATCATCAAATTACCGACTTTGTCATCAATTGCGAGTGCTAAATCCAATCAATATGTTAATACAATTGTAAAGAGTTTTGTATATGGATAAGAACATTTCTAATATACAATGGCCAATTTTACCTTTAGCACTTCCCAATGTTGCCATATGGAAGACATCTTTATAACTAAGCGGTGTATAATTATCTCTCGTTAAAGATAAACAATTTGATACTTGTAAAACCGATCTCATTTCATTCAGCATACTGTAACTAGCTGCACCTGAAGCATCTAAGAAAACATATTCATTTTTAATGTAATGAATACATTTACCTCATATATATTAAATGAAATTAAAAATTTAGATTTTAAGTTAAATTGTAAAACTTCTCAAACAAAGAGACTCTTGTGACACCTGTTCCAAGTCCGACTTTGATACCGTTAGCCTTTAATCTTTGTACATCGCAAAGCCCGCTTTTCAGATTTGTATTTGAAGAGGGGCAATGAATTACAGCTGTTCCTCGTTCTTTAAGAATAGCAAGTTCGCTGTCTTCAAGATAGACTCCGTGCGCTAATACTGTCTGTAAAAAAGAATCAGATGTTATATATGATTCTCAATTGTTTCAATTTGCTTTTTTAATGAATTAAGAAAATGAAATATTATACTTTATTGGTAAGAAGACCAGCAGCATCATAAACAGCCGTGTACGAAGGCAGATGTGGAAAAGCTTGTTTCACTGCTATTATCTCGTCCTTATTTTCAGAGACATGACTCTACAGACAATAAGGAACATTTTGTGTTTATAATAATAGCTGTATATTGCTGACATAATATTAAACAAGTTCAGTAAATAAAAATACCTGTATATGTACATCTTTCGTCTTAGCGATCTCTGCCAGCTTTTGCATTAATTCCATGTCACAACTCAGTGCGAATCTTGGTGTAATGATCGGCTTTACAAGTGGATTCTGCAACAAGTTTGGAGCAATGCAATATTTTTCTATGATTAATTGTGACATAGAATTGTCTTATCTATAATTGAAGAATTGGCAATAAAATACAAGTTTGCATTTACCCCTATTATCTCAATAGATTTTATAAAACCTATGGTGTCTACAACTGACGTTAAGGTGCTTTCACAATATCCATCATCACGTGGAATGTTCATGTTCACTTTTCCAATAAAAGCTCGTTGACCCAATTCAGCAGTTTTTTTTGCAAGAATTGTACATGCATCGGCATATAAAGATGCAAAATAACATGCCGTTGTTGTGCCCATTTTGATGGTCCGTTTCTGCAATGACATGTATATTAGACATAACGAAAAGATATAAGAATATCTGAAATAATTATACATTTTATGATATGATCTTGATTAGAATTGTTTCATGTACCACAACTGCTTCAAACACTCGCTCTGCAAATTCTGTATCACTATACTTTTTCTCTAGCGGAAAGGTATAAATTTCCAGCCAATCCAAAAGACACTTGTTGTAACCCAGTCCAAGATTTGGAAACTGTACTGCATGAGTATGAGCATCGATAAATCCAGGCATCATAAACTGACCATGCGATAAAATTTTAATTTCATCTCGAATTTTCCATTCGAACTTAAAATCTTTCTCGTAATCCTTTGAATTCTCCAAAATTCGAGTAATCTAAATATTACATAGGTAAATTATAATATTTTTTATTTTAAATCTATATTGTATACAATGTATAAAATGTGTAAAATTAAATCATTAAATACTTTGCCATTATCAACAAATACAGCAACACTCTCTTTAATAATTAATTCTTCTTTATCATTTGTTTGAATTAACGGACCAAAAAAAACTTGTCGAATCATTGTGTTATATCTTCTATAAATGCTTATATCACTGAAACAAAAATAAATATTATATACATTGTTATTCAATTTCATAATTACATTTAAGATATTTTAAAAACTTTTACAGTTTTACACTTTACAGTTATACTTTACAATTATTAAATTTCATAGTTTATTAGAAAGTAAATATATCATAATATATTGTTAATATTATGTAATTTTAATTAAAGATAGATAAAATAAATATATTAATAAAAAAAACTTTATAAAATATATATTAACAAATAATTTTCTTTTGTTATTTTATTATATAGAATATAACAAACGAAAAAAAAATTTCTTTCCAGAGTCTAACACTGTAAAATTTTCATAACTGTGAATAAAATATCACTTGACAACTTTCAAGACTCACTGTCGATGTTTTCGTGACAGTTTTCGTAATGCTATCGTAGATAACTCGATCACTTGATTACCTTGTTATCACAGCTGGATTGGTCATTCAAGGATACAGCCATATTATGCAAAGCAGCTGATCTGACTATTAGAGTTAGATTAGAAAATAAATACTTCATCTTTGTCATATTGGAAAAAACAAACATGATAAGCTTCGACGGATAAAAATGTTCGCGTGGGATGATACAGTTAATTATCTACATCATGATTAATTGAAAATTGCAGTAACCAACAGGGCCAAAAAAAATGCGAATTTGTTATACGTATTCGCAAAAAATACAGACAGTCGATAAATCTCCAGATGCTGATAATTTCATCTCATACATGCATTATCGATTAATGGTAACTACGTTTTTAAAATATATAATATGAATTATAAAAACAATAAAAGCGAAGTAATAATCAGCAGCAATAAAAGTAAAAAGCAATAATGTACATATACGTTTTTTTCTACAATTATTGCATCAATAATCAAACTTGATATAAAAAAAAAATAAAATTATATAAATAAAAATTGATTATCAATTAAATATAATTATATACGTATATATATCTACGAAATATCAGGATAACGAAATATCATGATAAAAATAAAATTAATATTATAAAGCAAGTTATTCAAAGTTTAACAATTACATAACCTTCTGCATAAGATTATTTTTAATATTTCTTCTGTTGTAAAAAATACGGATAAAAAAATAATAAATCGATTTATTTTGTATTTTGTTAACAATGTTCTTGTCTCCTACCATAATCTGAAAGTTAATTTTTATCAGTTTTATCAATGATAGAGAGAGGAAGAATAATTATATGCCAACAAAAAATTAAAATGCATCAAAATGTAGTCAAATTATTCGTTTAATTCTTCTTTATTAACAATACTTTTCTAAATATTTCAAAACATTTAATACAACTTTATTTTTTAAAAATAATCTGTTAACAAAATAAACGCAATATCCTTGAATATTTTTCAACATTTAAAATCTCAAATAGTTCTTAAATAGTATCTCATTAAAATTTTCCAATAAAGAAATACAAAAAATACAGACACTCATCATCATATTATTTTTTAATATAATTCGATGGCATATAAATAAACGATTTCTATTTTTTTTAAGTTTCTGATTTCTCATTGCAATCATGTTGAATTACGAATGTCAGAAACAAGAATCATGAATCCTTTCTATTTTATGTCGAGATAAATTAATTCTTCCGTATGCGGGTTTGATAATATAAATTAAAATGTTAAATATTTTTATCATTTCAATTTCTTGCATTAATAAATGAATGTATTATTCAATATCGATGTGTCCATCAGTTTCAGCGCAAATAAAAACTTTGATTAGATTTACAGTTATTTATTAATACATTTACAATATTGCGGATTTTATCTTTTGTCAAACACAAGTAATAGTCGAAAAAGATCGATTTATTTCGCATGAAGTGTAGAAATATTTATCGATTTGTCGTTTCTGAAGCCATGATACAAACACAGTTGCAATGAGGAACCGAAAACTTTAATCACAGCACTCGCGGCTAAAGCGTGACTTCACTAGAAGGCGAAACGAACTCTGCAATTATTAATTTATTCAGCCTTTCCATAATTGACATATGTTACAATCTACACTTAGTCTTGCTACTTATTTTACTGATACAGCTAATCAGAACGCAAGAAAGTCACATTGGATGAGGCGCTGCGTTCCTTATCTGACCGCATTTGTCGAAAACGTATCCGATCAACCGTTTGTTTAACGGTTCTTGGCAAACGTTTAACGACATTGCATGAATCATATAAAATACGAAGAAGAAAATTATAATACTCAACAGCACTATATGCCATATTGATAATATTCTTCTTTCTCGTCTTAATAGGAAAGATTGTGACGATTTTACGCTAAAAAAAGAAATTACATTAAAAAAGGCAACAATTTTAGATAAAGCGATAAAAAGAAATTGAAGGAAAAAATTAATTACCTCGATCTACTCTCAGAATTAATACTTTCATTGTCAGAAACTTCAGAAGAAACTTCCTCTTTTACGTTCGTCCAAACCTCATTATCAATTATCGCACAATTTATTGTACTTTGGCCATTAGAATGATTCAATCGTAGCATGTTGTTATTTTCCTCTCTCGAGCTACGACGAGATTCAGCCTGCTCGAAAATACCTCGTAATTCACTGATGCTATTGGAACTTCTGTTTAAAAATATTTTTTTTAAATTCAATGTATAACATTGTATTTTTTAAATATTTAATAAATGTTTTAAGCGTTAAGAAATTTAAATCAATAGTCTAAGTCAATAATATTACTAACTCGGTACGATGTAGTTTTTCGATTTCCCATTTTGGGGATTCGGAGCTGAATGATGGTCTCCTGAGAGTCATGCGTCCGGAAACAGAATTTCGCTGTCTCATAGTGTCCTGTATGGAGCAAAACGTGAAAAATATAGACAAATGTATAAAAAGAATAAAAAGAAAAAATAAATAGGCAATCATGCATGTCAATGTTAGTAGAAAGTACTGCAGAAACATAAGAAGATAACCCTGAAATATTAGGCTGTAAAAGCAAAAATTTAAAGCTAAAACAGTAAAAGACAAATTGCCTTTGTCATATCCTGTGCGTTGCCCATCGGCCGAGACATTGTGGCTACGCTGGCTCTTCTCCTAGCCATCTAAAAAAAAAAAAAATGGACGAAAAAGACTATACCAAACATTAACCGATAGAACGAAATTAAGAAAAAAAATGAGAGTGCAAGTTGTAAGTGCATAAAAAATTGCTGCGAAATTGTGTAAACGTGCGAGTGCACAACAACGAAGCGATGGAAAGTGCGAAACAAGATACGATGGATATCTAACATGTGATGAAAAGCTGGCGAAAAAAAGCGATGAACATGAATTTTTCAATATTTTCGAACCATCATACGATTATTGGCGGGTGTACCGCTCCTGTATCTGATGCGAGGTAGTTCATCGTTGAGCTCGCTGGCATTCTCCTCTATCATTATATTGTTGTCTACTAGGATCTGTCTGGAAACGAACAGCGTGCACTATCATCGATACTATCTCATTGTTTCGAAAACAAAGGGAGAGAGAAACTTCACATCAAATACTAACAAATCTTTCACAAATCTTTCTAAGAATATTTATTCCGAATTTATTCGATTATCAACTCTCTATATGATCTCTATATGAAAGTAAACCTTTAAAGATCATGAATATCACATTTTGAAAGCAATGTCAAAACTCAAAAAACAAATTGGATGACGAAGCAAGGCGAATAGAGAAAGGTGATAAGTCTGATCCTCACTTGGTCTCGGCGACATTGGTGATCAGCTTCTCACATCGGGAATGCAGCACTTGGAGATATTTATCGGCCAATAAAATAGCTCGGGATACCCTACGCTCCTGCTGCACGGCGCCTAGAGTCTCGGCCGCGCAAGACACCCTGTGCGCACATCGCACGATCATGTCCAATTGATGCCTGACTCGTTCCACCCGCTCCACGGATTCCCTATCCGTGCATAGTGGCGCGAGTTCCTGACGTTACGCAAAATTCAATCCCTTCAACGAATCATGGAGAAAGACTACTTGCTAACTGGCAAATGCTTCGCGATAAAATTAGATACATTTCAACGATTTAGCCGAAAGTTCTATACGATTGCTTAATAAGCAACAAGATATTTTCATATTCGCTTGCCTGAATGTCCTGCTGCATCTTCCGCACTTCGTAGGAAAGGTTTTTCTCAGATTGGTCGCGTTGTCGAAGTGACATCGCTATCCTTCGCGGTAAAGTCAACCTTTCTGTGCAGAGGCATAACGAGAACGCTATGTACTTCTTCTACAATAGAAGTAGTGTCATGTAATTATCCGTAAAAATATCTTACAATTCTTATACTTAGAATGTGCTTATTTACCTGCAGTTCAAATTCATTTGAATTCTCCCTAAAAATAAAAATTGTTCAATAATTAATTAAATGGTATGATCAATTACAATAATTTGTTTATTGATTAATTAAATTAAATACCAAGTTTACTACGCACCTGATCGCTAATTCAATATCCGATAAATTAGCTAGATTTATGCAGACTGGCCCAGATTCCTGCAGACGAATATCCATAAGACTTGGGAAGACTTTCATTCGTTGATTACTTTCCGGAATCAAAAATGCATTTTTTTTGCAACGGCATTCCAATCGACCGAGGTTCTCGCCCTCCGAATATGATCTTTTCATATTTAAAGCCAACTGTAATAACAAAATAATATTTTGAAATAAACAATAAAAGAAGAGCAACAGGAATTCGATAAATGCGTTCGCTGAGCCTTTCGTAAAATTAGCGGATGTCCGCTATAAATTATTTCTCGGTATCTGACTTTCAAGAATAACGAAAGAGAATTGCATACTGCATAAAATTTTGTTGATCTCCGCTAATTATCAATACATACATATGCGAGAATAGAGAAGTTTGAAGCGATAAAAACAGTTAACTTGGCACAGATGTACTTCCAGTAGTAATTTGACCTTCGTTCCATATGCAAGCGTTATAGCATCACGTTCGGATAAATATTATCGGGAAAAGAATAAAAATGCGAGAGAATCGCGTGCTTTCCAGCGTAATTAAAGCTTGTAATTGAAAGATAGAATAAATAATAACAGGCTCGAAAAAAAGAGACAAATAATTCGATGGAATTTTGTTAAAGAAAATTATTATGAACTTCTTTTACTCTGATGATTAATTACTGCCTATGAACACGGCGAATGGAGAGAATATAGTGAGAATTTCGGCAGCCTTTTCTCTTTTCGCTTTTCTACTAATATCTGTCGAAAGTTTACGTGGCAAACTTAAGACAAATATTATTTCTCATATCAAACGAGATATACCGCCGGATGTAGAAGGGGCACGTGCGTTGTGATGCTATCACACTTCAATGTAATATTTATAACTTCGTAATATTCCGGTGGAATTTTGTGTTAGACGACCTATAAAAGAAAGATGCAATGCCATTCATTAATTAATAAATTATCTATAAATAATGCATACCAGTTTTCTATTATATAATAACATTCATACTATATTATATAACTGTAATATAATAGAATTATTGCAAAGTCACTTCGAGGGAGGGAGATGAGAGTGGGGGGAATCAGCAATTCTTTATTGAATGCTATAAAAGCTTTCTTGATGCATATAAAGGAATAAATATTTAACGTTACATAAAATTTGCGTAAGATAGTTAAAAGAGCTAATAGATTCTTATTGTGGAAAAACATTTAATGTATATGTTCATGTAATTTTCTTCCTTTAGAATTACAGTAAAAAATATAAAAATACGAAGAGTCTATAAGTATAGTTAATTAAAACATAGATAATGCGAAGAAGTAATGAAACTCTAGTCGACCGGCGTAAACGAATGGAAATCGCCACAAAACAACTTATAAGGTAAAAACTCGCGATCAACCTTGTTGTTACACTGGAATTTTCGCCACAGATCTGTAATGATCGGTGCAATTGTGTCAGTAAAAAATCGATATAATTGAACGAGTAAATAACAGAGACATTCGCGACTTGCCATCAGTAAATAAAATGCAAAAAAGAACAGAAACTTTCAAATTTGCAAAGTATATATTATTTGTGAGGGCGATTAATATAAAAGATAAATAAAGAAATGAACGCGATTAAACATAAATCATAGTTGGAACTTGTCACGAAATGTTTTCACAGTAAATATAATCGACTTGATCATATATTTGCGATGGCGAGGTATTTATTAGCTGAGAGTTAATAAATTATGATAGAAAAGATGCTGTATCTAGTAGATAACAAATTAATTAGCGTTCCGTGCTCAGAATAAATTGAAAAAAATCGCGTGGCTTTGAAATATGTGCGACTGTCTTGTGGCTATTTTAGACAACGCGTTAAACGAGATACATGTTTATTTACTATTCACATGTAAATGTGAGCATAAAGGAAAAAAGATATAATTTTCAAACAAGAAAATTATCACGAAGCAATAAGTTACCTCTATCTTTTCGAAAAACTAAAAAGAATGAAAATATACTATAAAAAAAATATAATTGCTTTTATATATAACACATTTCACGGACATCAGATGTCTCACGTCTTTAGAAATTATTGTAAACTTGTTCATGTATTCGATTCGTACAATACATAATCACATAAAGTGTTCAATAAAGTAGACAAATATTACATCAAGAATTAAAAAAGAATCGTATAACCAGTTTTTCAAGAAAATCTCGCTGCAAATCCGTTTCCAGGGAAATCTTTTTATTTTATGCACGTGGAAGTGCGATTAAGATGTCTCTCTCAGAATAATAAATAACAAAGCGTCAAGGTTACTTAAACTCTCTATTGCAAATATTGAGACTCGCGTATACTAATTGCTGGATTATTACTGCATGAGCCGATAGCGGTCTAGCGACACGATGACCGCGTGTCAAATAATTGCGACATTCCTTACGAGTAATTAGTGCCAATTGACCGCAGATTTATCGCTGATCGTTCCCATAAGCAATAATAATTGCCAATCTCAATTGCGTGGCTGACCGTGATGAAAATGCTCGCCTGTTGAGGTCGCGTTTTCTGTTGAAGCGCAACTTAATTGTTTTCGTGATTGAGCGACTGTCAGTGCTCAAGTTACACGCGTCGAGCAGGCTATTTCACCCAATTTAATCAAATCCAACAGCGTCGCGAATCAAATAGGTCCTTAATTTTTCTTTTGTTCCGCGTGCGGGATGTTCCAGAAAAGGAAAGCTACTTCTAAATTTATATCTAAATCTTCTCGATCTACCAACCTGTGGTATTTCTCGTTTCATCTCCAACAAGTTTCTTTCGCACGCTTTTTCATCGTTTTGCACCGCGTTCTTGCACGGCACTACTTTTATCGAATCCGAATCGGTCAACGATGCGGACGGCGCGACATTGACGATTTTGTCGACCTCATTCACGACTTCTTCAGCGATACTATATCGATCATTGGACCCCGTTGTCGGTTTGCACTCGCCGTTGCCTGATACGGCTAAACTGTCCTCGCGATTCGACATTTGGCTATCGACTGACCGTTCGATTCGCGACTGACTCTCGTCGTCGACTCTTTGCACGCATGTCAAGGAGTGGGGATCCTTTAAATCCATGATCTTCGTTAAATCTGTGGGAGAAAATGAAATCGATGATCTAATAAGACAGCTTGTGAGAAATTTCCACGATGTCTCCTTCTAAGACGGATGTGAGAAGTCGAAGGTGATTGAGAGGATTATATTATCTTCGACGCGCGCAGTAAATTTTTTTTATCGTACTATTAAATTATGTGATGTGCATTAATAAGTGTGTTATATATTACACAGTCTTCATATCCTCGAGCTCGAGATTGGCTATCTAATAAGATTAATTAAAATGGAGATACTTACCAGTTTGATCACACAATAGACAGCGATTAGACACTAAGTGTGCTTGCGAAACAGTCTTGTTTAAATATGGTGTAGATTCGAATACCACATTCTTCATCTTGCATTTGTCTATAAATGTCGAAGATGAATGCATGGAAACGTCGTCATCTTTCTTGTTCCCGACGATAAGAGAAAAATCGAATTCAGTAGAATTCATTGAAACGGGAGAAGCACAGTCAGAAGCCTCGACGATTCTATGTAATTCGTTTTTTGCTTCCAGTGGAAATTTCAAGCGCGTGGGCGCCAAATGAATCTTTCTAAGTATCGTCTGCTCGACCGGTATTTCATCGTCTAGGCTATATTGGAATTGCTTTTCCGGCGTAGAGTTCGTGGAATCGCTGTCGCTTTCTCTGTTGCGATAACCGTGATTAAACGCATAATTCATCACAATATTTCGCTCCCAATCGGTGATCTTGTTGATTTGCGAAGAAGAGTTGTATGGAGTGCTCGATGATTGCTTTACTTCCAAATTAGATCCCTGATGATCCTTAAGCGGATCCTGTACCGCAACAATGTCGAACGGACGGCAGTAGACAGAAATTTTTCTGCGGGGACTCGCTGGATTGCTTATGTTATTCACTTCAGGTACTTGTTCACTTATACAATTCCACTTTATCTCTTCCGATGTGGCCAATGCCTTCGAATCCACTTTGAGAATACTTGATCCTTTTGACATTTCACTCGATCGATTTTTCTCGAAATGTTCCTTGGAAACGTCGCGTATTTCCGCAGTAAACAGCACAGATTTCTCGTCGTGGTCTTCCTGCGTTAGACCATCTCCGCATGCGAATGAAATATCGATAGTATTTGTTTCAGGATTTTGATAACCAAATGTTTGCCTCGAGTCTTCCACGGCTAGCGAAGATAATTGTAAATCCGACAGCAACGTGTGTATCGATCGGTTCCTATTAACAAAATGATCATTCGATTATCAGCAACTTAGTTCCAATTAACATTTGTATTATTATTAAATACATTCACAATACGCAAAATTCACGACCACATTTCTTTTTTTATAATGATATTTCGTAGCAAATTAATTTTGAACTACATATTTTATAAGCAACTGGACCTTAAATTCCCGGCTAGCGGGCAATCTTTGCGATCGGTAGATCGAAGAGCGCTAAGAGTGCTTTCGATGATGTTGTGTAATTCTTTGATGATAGGTTCGATTTTGATGAATCGATTTTGGACATTCGGGGATGGACACATCTTTATAACTCTCGAGAACAAGTCATCATCTTCGTTATTCGCATAGTGCGTTATTGACCACAGACCCGTTTCTACTTTCAGCTGGCTAGAATAGCGATTATAGCAAAGAGAAGTTAAAGAATATGCAAGCTAAATACACCGAGTATACTTAACGCATTGATACGGTATTAAATTAGAATTTACAAAGTCGATTATTTAACTTTTAGCCATTATAAACCATTCCACTTAATGTTCATAACACTCGATGATATATTTTTGCACGAGATAATTATTTAAATGTCAGCAATAGTTTGCGGCGTAACACAAATGTATAACGCGAATCTGTCAAATTTTTAATAATCTTGAAATTTTGGAATCTCTTATGTAATCTTTTTAAAAATAGTTGTAAATAATGTACTTATAGCGATTACAGGAACTAATGAAAAAGCGTTTTTGCATAATTAAAGAAATTCATATTTGTAAAAATAATAGTCGTCAAATCGCTAAATGACATCAATCTCTAAAACAATATATTAAAAATGTAATATTCATTATTTACGTTTTATGTAATATTTGTATGATAAAATTTAAGAAAAAAATAATTATAATTAATATGTAAATTCTTTCACGAGGGAAGAGTTAGCGAAAATATTTTTTATTAAAAATTTATAAAAATTTATAAAAATTTATAAAAATTTATAAAAATTTATAAAAAAATTGTTCCCTTTATTTTTCCATATTTCGCAAAGGCTGAGGTCGATCTTGAGTCATAAACAATTCGTGTAGACAGAGACTAATTAGAACTGCACACGTGATAAACATAGATTTAGCGATTATGCCATTAAGGCAATAAATCAAACTGTTCTTGCTATGCGCGTTTAATGTTTGCGTTACATCAATGCTGTCTGTGTCTATATCTTATTGTTAAGTACGCACATGTGTCACGTTCGTAATTGTTCTACTAGTTTCCCATTGATTAATCTCTATTACTCCTGATTTGGCGCGAATTAATCTTTTACATTTTATATCCCCGATCTTCTTTCGAAGAACTTATGCTAAACTTGTCCTCAAAACTTTGTGATTGTGAACTTAATGATTGTTGAAGTCGAAAGATCGTTCTAAGAATCGCTGTCCACAATCTTATATCGTGTGATAAGTTTCTTTGCGTTGAAGATAATTTTCCGATTGAATGAGGAAGCAACTTCGATGTATGTGCATATGATTTTTTCGAGTTGCCCGAAATATCGTTCTCGAGGTATCGACACGCGCGACAGGAAAGTCCGGAGCATACTGATTGCATTAGCCTGGTAAATCGATCTCCCTAGCAGTGCTGACGTCTTCTCCTGCATCGTGTAGCCGGAGATAATTTCCGGATTGCATTTCGAAAGATTTCTCTATAACGCGATCGCGATAATTCCCTGTGTAAAAAATACGTAACAATGTATTTTCTCTCATAGCATTCACTGCAAATCCAAATATAAAAGTGACTACAATATATGTGTGTATAATTAGTTTTTCATGTAAAAATGTCATTACACGGTTAAATGTCTCAATCCATTTCTATAAGCGGTATAATGCATTATTTTTATACGGAAAATCAATTATATACCAATTACATTAGTCACTTTTTACACGCATAGATTGCAGTGATATTCTTAGTTCTCGCAACGCAAAAAAATTGTTTTAAGGAAAAAAAAGATAATAAACGCTTAAGAATATTTCTTCGATATATGTGATGTGTCAATTCCAGTTTGTTGACGAAGTTTCATTATCGTTTTGCGGATAAATTTCTTAAAGAAGAAATTTTATGAAAATTTATCTAAGCGCATTTATAATAATATATTTTTAATAAGCGTTTAATAGTGAATTCGAAAGAAAAAACAAATGCTAGGATTAAGTTCCAACTATGGAACTTTCGAGCTTGCAAATTAGGAAAAGATGGATCAAGGCGCAAGTATGATAGTCGGTAAATATTTTTGTTGGGGTGCGAGAACTGAGAAGGAAATCATGATTTAAGGCGAGATTCGCGGTAACTCGGTTATTTTTACTGGTGGACTGTCATTCGAGGGCGTTGTCATATATGCAGATCATATAAGCAACGAGCAACGCTATTTTTATGGGAAACCCTGAAGATCCGCCCGCTATGTTTGACCTTGAGCCAGATATTCAAATCGAATGGTCATTCGCTTCGGAAATCGAAGCAATATTTCTTCCGTTTATGCGACATATATGTTCGAGATTATGGCGTCTATAAGCGGAACGATGTTTCGATCTTTCATAAAAATAAACTCGTCCATAAAGTCTCCTTTACTAATGTAAAAAGCATAGGAATTAAATCGATATAACGACTTATAATAGACTCTTTTTCCAGAAATTAACCATCTCCATTTTGATTTATGGTATGCATGACAACTTCGAATACAAGCGCACAAGTGTTACGCTGTATCGATGTTTCATGCGAATGTTGTTAACTTACGTTGCGTGCGTCAACAACAGATCCCGGAAACTTCTGACGCCAAATTGCTCCAAACTGCTGGTTGCATTTGCCGGCTCGACTTGGAGCTGTGTGCTCGAATCTTGTCTCATGTTTCTTCTCGTGATCTCTTCTGTCATCTGTGAAAAGACGTGAATAGATAAAAGAACAAGGCAAAAAAAAAGTGAGAAAGATCATATACATAAAATCGAAGAGCGTGTGTCGCTTTGTCATGAAAATTAGCATTCATTGCGATCAACCAACTATAGTAATGTTGCGACAAGTACAACGCGCGTGTCAAGGTGATTGTTTAAGTTATGCCGTATACCTTATCAACATTAAAAAGACGTTAGCGATGAAAGAAAAATTCTAAAATAAAAACAAGAATAAAACTTACCATATTTAATAGAAAAGATACTTTGTGCCTCAATATATCAATATTATGAGTTTTTGCGTCCATGTCTTGCGAATTAAAGTAAGATAGATCATCGACAGAGCCCCGTATCGTAACAAAAAATTGTATAACTCTGAAAATCAATCGCAAATAAAACGTAAAGTAAGCTCAACTAAAATCGTTAAATCGGGAAAACCGATTAATAGAGGAAATAAAAAATAATTAAACTGAAATATAATGACTTTTCTAGTTGTTCCAATATCGTAACAATCTTAGCATCGTATTCGTTTAATTCTTCCTCGAGTTCTTGTATATTATTTCTGCTGTAGTCAGTTGTAAAGCCCTGAAATATGTAAAATATAATATTAAGAAAAAAATTCAAATCTCTATTAAAATCATATCACTTATATATTATATATTAATATATAATTACTTATATATTATATTAATCACTTATATATCTTATATTAATGCGAGCATTAAAAAAGTCCTATTCGAAATATTTTCACTTACTGAAGCTTTCAATTCCGTATATAATGAATCTTCCATCGATACTTTTATCGACTTATAAGGTGTGCTATGTAGGTAGCATTCATCTTCGTCCAAAACTGGTGATAACGAGAGCTGTAAATAATCATACCAATTATATCGCGAGAAATTATTTTTACAATTTATATTTCTATAACATTAATAGTTTACTCTTTCTTCGGTAGAACATGCATTAAGGACCGATAACGATTGGAGTTCCACATTTTCGTCCATGAGTTTACGATTCTTTTCACGCAAATTCTGCAATATATGATTCGTTATAGCATTATAATTCGTTGTACATGGTTATATGAATACCAAGCGATACTTCGAACTTACATGAATCGTGTATTCGTAGTCCTCTTTCATGCTAATATTCGTGTCCTTGAGTTTGGTTATTATAGTTTTTAATTGATAATAATTGTTTTCCTTTTCGTCAAATTCTTCTTGTATTTTGGTGATCAATTTCAAACACTCCATTTTCTCTTTAGTGATCTTCTCTAGTTTTTCTTTTAAAGATGGTATAGCTTGTATCTATTTATTTGTATGTTAAAAAGTATTTAAATAAATAAAAGTATTTAAAAATTGAGTATAATAAAGATTCTTTATAATCAAATATTTATTATTTATAATCAATCATTTATTATTTATAATACAAATTTATTCAAAATGTCGAATATTATATTATATCCAAGAATTCATATTTGAACATTAGTTACGAAGAATTATGCAGAAAAATACAAAATAAAAATGTAAACGTGTAATTTCTACGTCTAAACGGAAATCATGAATAGCTTCCTATAAAATAAGATGCAATTAGTTTTTTTACCTCAATTTCCGCGGCTTCCAATTGCTTCAACAAGTTCTGATGCTCTTTCGTATATCTTTGAAGAGCCAAGGTCATAGTCTTTTCATTCTTAATCAACTCATTTAATTGATCTCTTTGCTCATCGTTTTCCTTTTCGAATTGCTGACATTTGTGAACATAATGTTTTCTGCATTAATAAAACACATATATAATATCGCATAAGCATAAACATCATAAGAATATATTAATATAAATCAATTTTTTGAAATTATCCATAAAGAACATTTGGATGTAAATCATACGCACAGCTGTTTCTCGGTAATACTGTGTTGTTGTTTGAGATTGTTGATTGATCTTTCATGTCGCTCGAGCTCGTCACGAAGGATATTGTTTTCTTCGCAGAGTTTTCGAAATTTCATATTTCGAAACTCTAATTTCACGATATCATTAGTCAAATCCATAGTTTTCATTGAAGAGTCTGCGTCGTTCACGAGGCTACGGCAATTAGCATATGTCATGTATTATTACCAACCGTTGTACAAATAAAAGTTATTATTACATAACATAACGCACATCCTACATTAAACACATTAATTTGTCTTTATGTACTATACACAATATATTTATTTAACACTAGAAATACATGTTTCTTACTCACTAAAAAGAGAATAAATAAATAAATTACTGAAAATAAAATATGAAAATAAAAAAAGAAATAAATGAGCTAACTTTTCTTATGAAACAAAAAATATAATTATTGAAAAATAAAAAAATTTCAGACTCTTATTTTTTATACAAGAAATGTAATTAATCTAAAAATAACGATCAATAATGATTGCTTAATCTTTCTAATGTTAATGCGTAACAAAAGAGATCGTATCGAGAGAACTAAGTGTTTATCCATATCAAGTAATTTATGATCAAATCATTAATTAAAAAACCCATAAAACATAAAAAGTCATATATCTTCATATATGTCTGTTTTTCTGTTTATTGAACTTATCGTTAAACTTAGTTAAGATATATATAAAAATATATCTAGGAAGATATATATCTTCATATATACTTTCACTGAGTCTAAGTTCAATAAACAGAAAAACAGATACAGTTGATGCACTTAGTGCTACAAATGTATTGCCAAAAAAATTTATAATATAATTAAAATAATTCGTCTATTATTTACATGCATGTTTTAAATTCATTGTATCCATTATAATATAATATTACGATACAATCTGGACCAAATATTCCACTTCTTATACCGATCACAAATCATAATCAACAAATCAACGGTCAAGATTGAATGCGTCTATCACTATCAAACGTGTCAGCATCGCATCGATAAATTAATTCTAAATTCTTCGATTTCGCAATGAACATTCGCAACAATAACTAAGCTGCTGCATTCAACAATTCGTAATAATTGGAAGAGATTCACACGAGCGCTTCGCGCGCGATCAATCGTGGAGGGCACGTAAATAATTCCAGAAATAAATTAGCCAATTTCTCCTGTTTATAATCGTGATCGGCGCATTAACGAGATCACCAGATATGACCACAGGCGAGCAACGACTGAACACATGCGAATTGCATAAGAGATATCGCATGCCGATTTCCAGCTGCCACAATATTCGTCACACACACCGCACGAATAACACCTGTGTGTCGCTTATTCGACTCTATTGGGACCAGCGACGAGAAATTGGCGGTGCTCCGCTACTAGAGAACTTCCATTAGAAGATATACAAATACATATATATATATATATATATATATATACATGTATAAATATACATTAGAAGATATCCATTAGAAAATATACAAATATATATATACATGTATAAATACACATGCATACATGTACAGAACGCTAATACAAAGAATAAACAACTAACGAATTGAAAAGAATTAAACACCCAATGAACACAAAGTTACATGTAACGTACCAATTGTAATTTCCCTACTCAACAATATAATCATAATATAACAAAAATGTTACAATTATATTGTTGAGTAGGAAACTACAACAGATACATTACATAACTTGTGTTCACTGAGCATTCTATTCAATTCGTCAGTCGTTATTTCGCTTCGTGCTTATGTCAGTTATATCGAACAAAATTTCGGCACTCATTTTTTCGCGGTTGGCAATCAATCTTTATCACGAACGACTGTGGTACAGGCTACTACGGTACGATTCATGCTCACAATATTCGCATTACTCGTCCTTGTTTAACTTCATAAACAACAATGATGAAATGACTCCAAGAGAATCGAATCGCAGTCGGTAGACTGCATATAAGCGATCGGTTATATACGCAGACATAGTGCAACGTGGCATTTCCCGCTTAAAAAAGCTCGTGGAATTAAATAGAAATAAAAAATATAATTATCTATGCATTCTAAACTTAGAATGTTAAATCTATATCTTTCATTCATGAATTCCCTATGAATAGTCGTCTATGTTGAGTTCGTTGCATTGATATATATATATATATA